AGTGTTTCTGAGTAGAATATTAATTTAATGTTTTATTGGAATTTGAATGTAAGTTCATTGAAAGAAAAAAAGTACCAACCTCTAGTCGTTGAAGAAATCTACGTATTCTATTCATATCTAATGTCCTTTTATTAACATCTAACTGTAACCCAGCTTCTAGTAAGTTATTCAGCAACGGCGGAAAATCATACAAATCCATAATAACTCCACGTTTCCAATGCAAATATTGTCTTTCCACATCTGCCTTACTGTATCCATTCCATGGTACGTGCACTGTTTTTTAATGAAAAATCAATTTTTCTTTACTAATCGGTCCATAGTTGTGCAAATACGAGTACATTAGAAAAATAAAATGAGTAAAAACGCTCAAATATTTTTAACGAAGCAATTTCTCAATTCTACTCCGAAAGGGGAAATCAAATATTAATATTTTTCTATGAATTGCAACATACACTTAAACGAATTTTTCTTGAAAATTTACGGAAAAATTTACAGAAAATTCTCTAAAATTTACGGAAAATACAATACTTATTTAAAAGCTACAAACCACTAAGGAAAGCTAAAAGTCTACTATGTTTCTTTTAATAAGTCTAATTAATAATGCGAAAAGTATTATTTTTTCAACGTAAGGAAACTTTGTAATGTAATGTATCGCATAATCGCATAACACGTAAAGAATCATGTACTGTATTAATTTTACAGATTTGTTTATAATTAGAAAGTAAATGTATATCAGAGATTCTACAATTCTGTAAAGACTTCAAGCGTTTTGCGCAATCAAAACATAATTACGAAATTTTGTTTATCGCGTGTAATATACATAAGTACTTGGAGAATCGAACAGCCTTTGGATCTATTGAAATCCCAGCGAATGTGATTTCGTTTCCTTATCGGTTCTATAAACCTGTTTCATTTTTACACCGAGATCACGGTGGAGTTTCTGGTTGAAAAGTTAATCTCGTAATCGTTCAGGTTCAGGTGAAGAAATTCACGTGCATGAAATTCCTCGAATGCTCCTGCTTCGTTAGAAATTATTACACGATTCTTAAGAGCCGCGGTGGAAATTCGATGGGAAAAAGAACGAAGATTATTGATTAAAAACACTTACTTGTACACATTTCCCAAATTAACAAAGCCAATCCGTACACGTCGCTTTCTTTTCCTGGTTCGTAACCGTGAAAAAGTTCTGGAGCTTGCCAGTTGAAAATCTCGGATCGTAAGCGTTCCTCGAATTTTCTGTCTGCCTTTGACTGCATTGAAATTACAAAATACAAAATCGTTAGAGGCCAAACAAAGAAAAATATCAAGTGACATTGGTATTTGCAAATGAATCAAGTGTTCGATGATAGCAAGCAAATTTTTCAGTATAAAAATGGGATTCATTCACTAGAAACATTAGTGTAAAATATATTACGGTTGTTGATACGAAATTTTGGGTAATGTTACTTTTAAACGATTTTCAGAATGACAATTGTACCTTTGTTTCAGCTTCACTTGAAGGCAAAGATTTGACAGAAATTTGTCTTTACCTGCGTTCGATATTTTCTAAAAGTATTACACAAGTTTACGGAGTATCTCTGACATGCTTATTTTTGTGAAAACGTCTCAGACTTTGTGCAAAAGTTTTATGAAAATAATTTCAAAATTTTCGCTTGTTTTATATTTTTGACTGAAGTTTTTACACATGTTTGTTACATTTTCAATTATGTCGAAATATCTAATGTTTTATGTGTACAGATTACCTATCCTAGTTGCGTCTGGAAAAAAATTCATGAGAACTGGGTGTGAAAGTCCGCGCAGGATTGTGCAAAGTTCACGGAATTTATTCAAACCTGCACATATACGCTGAACAAATTAATTCTCACCACTCTAGGATCTTATTACTTTCTACACATATTACCTCATATAATTACTACGTTGATATTATGTACGCTACTCGAAATAATGGGAAACTCTTAACAATTCACGAGGAAGAGATAAAGAGACCAAGAAGCACCATACGTTAATTGTACAGATGCATTCACTGATTTTCAATTGTTACTTTTTATACGATTTTCACAACGAGACATTTGTTAAACGTTCAACAATTTTACGACGAAATTTTCAAAATTAATTCACGAGGAAGAGATAAAGAGACCAAGAAGTGTCGTACATTATTTACATTAACCCTTTCCACTCGAAGTTCTTTATGCTAATCGGATTAAGGTTGCAAATCGGATCTTCTTTGATATTTTTTTAAATTAACGTAGAACTAAATTATACTATTTTCTTTCAATATTCAATGTATTCTTGAGGTTCATTCTTTCGAACTATTTCACTACTTAGGCCTCTAATATATGGTGTGCAATTTATGGAGGCTCATAGATCTGTTGCAACAGGAAAATATCAGTTCTAAGAAAGTCTTCATTAACTATTCACCAAGTGATAATCATTTAATGTCGCTTCTCAGTCGTTAATGCATTCATTGATTTTCGATTATTAAATCGAAAAAATAAATATCTTCAAATGTATGCAAATAAAGAAAGCAATGTATATAGGATGCACATGTGTTTAGTTTGACTCACATTTTTAAAAATAACATACACGACATATTCGACTGTCTACTGCCTATGATTTACATTTATTTTCATGCTTCAGTCATGGAGCATAATTAAGAACGTTACGGAACGGTGACTTTATTCAAAAATGAGCATTTTGTGAGAAACAACGCTGACAATTTCCTGCTGCGAAATATCGCTGGGTGTGCCAATGGAAAAAACGGATATGACGTTATATCTACACGAATTCAGCTGTTTACGAAATTGTAATTAGGGAATCGTGTGTTCAAAGGCACAATAAACAACGAATAATGAAATGTGAAGTAAACATCCAAGTAAAAGAATGTTTAATATCTTATAAATATATAGACATTCTTCCCTAAATTTGATCCAATATTTTCTTTCGTATTATATAAAAATTACTCAAAGTAATTAAAATTTATTACTCGTTACAATAAATGATTTTTTAATTATTTTAAACAGCGTATTTCGGGTTTATATTTGTACGATCGTAATGTTTTCAATTTTACTGAATTATGAGGTCAAAGTTGCAGACTCTCACTATCTCGCGTAATTCTCTTTTTCTTTACGTAAAACTTACGAAAAAAATTGCAGGCTAATTTGATTGATGTACTCAAGTACGTTATTAGTGGTGATATATTTTTAATTGTTAATCCACTTTGGATGAAGACACTTATGCAACGTGTGAATTACTTTCCACTAATTACATCGACTTGCAATTTAATAATCAGTTCATTAACTTTCAACATTGAAACGAACTTTCATCCTGTAATATTTCATCTGTATTGTCCTTTATGATTTCAGGTTTTCTCTCTTAATAACCATATCTGATAGTTCACACGGTAAAAGGATAATTAATCACGGACATCGCGAAAGTCGATTTTCATTGTGCAAAATAATTCTCATTACATATTTTGCATGAATCAATTTCCAGGGTCGAATACAAAAAAAAAAAAGCTTTAGAGCGCTCACACACCTTTTAGAGTAAATAGTTTGTGGAATAGCGCGGAACGTACGAACCAAAGCTATTTATTTCAATTAATTTCACTCGTTGAACGAAAGAACGTGTAACGCAATGATTCATTGAAACTTGAACGGTTAAATAATTTCTCGCAGACGCGAGATTTTGTTCGTGTAAAATTCACGAATGAAATAAACGTCTCACCGATAGCTAAATCATTTTTCCGGTAGTAACATATAAAATAGGTTCGCGCAAAACTGAACACTGACTGAAAAAGGAATAACAGATCGACGAGAGAAATTGATCGATTAGAATTTTTCTTTAACACCGCTCTCTTACATCATCAAGCATTGCAAGAAATAAGAGATTTCATCTGTAAATCGTACGTAACGATTATGTAACAACGATCTTAAAGTACTCCTTTATTTTCGATTACGTTTGATTTTTAAGTTTTATTTCACAAGAAAAGGTTGCAAACGTTTACTAAAATAATGTGAAAAGATGTTAGGGGAATATGGATTCGAAATGTTTTCACTTTTTTTCGGATCTTACGCAAAAGGAAATTCTAAGAAAGCACTAGAGACAACTGAGACACAGGGGACAATGTTAAAAATACGAATTATATCAACGTGGTGAAACTATATTGTTAATGACAACTTGAATTTAATACTAGCAAACTAAGGTCAATTAATCAAGCTGTATTATGCACCGTATAATAAAAACTAAATATATTCACTTACATTGTTGATATGCATGGCCAGTTCCCATCCGCCTAGTTTCACGATACCACTAGAAGCCAGAAAGACGCAATGTGAGCTAATGGCAGTGTGCACATATCCGCGCATGTGAGAATGTCTTAAGGCATCGGACAGTCTTCCTCCGCATTTTGCGATACCTTGTATTGATATACGTTCACCCTGATCGTGTATGTAATGATAAAGGGTACAATCGACCGATTCGAAAATAGAGACTAGACCATGATCATCTGTGTACGTGCTGGCCATTAACAATAGCACATTAGGGTGCCGAATTTCCCTGAATGAAAACAAAGAACCATGTGTATATAATTGTTAATCAAATAAATTAAGAAAAATCAAATGAAAGGAGAGATGTGTCGTTCGTTATTGTATTATTTGCTAAATAATATGTAATATTAATAAATGTTTTAGAAAATATTACAAAACAATGTAATTAATGACATTTGCAATTATTATTTTATAATATGTATACTGAAATTTTGATATTCTGCAGTAACTTTTCAATGTTACATTGACAGGTTAGAAATGTATAAGCGGAAGTTATCTAAACTAAAGAAAACATCGTTCGTCAGGGAAAAGTAAAGGGAAAACGTTCATAATAATAATCAATAAAAGTTTATTCTTTTATATTATATTAATTGGTACGTACGAAAGTATATCTAAATCCGCTTTCACAGCATCTTTGCATTCCGGATGTGAGTGCCTCTTCAGTGAAACTCGGGTATTTTGCCATTCAGCAAAAATCAGCTCGAGATATCGGTCTTCCGTACCAGCTACCCATCCAATTTCAAAAATTTCTGGAGCTGGTATATGTGGTACACCAGGTATGATTGACTTCGATTCTTGTGATTTCCGTTCATTGTCGTATTTATTGTTATTATTTTTCGCCAAAAAGTCTGCTCTTTTCTTGTCGGGACTACTGGATGTTTCAATCTCTATGTCGTCGGAGGTCCGTCTGCGATCTATGAAAGCTTGGAGAGCATTACGATAAGACTCGCTAAAAACAGAAATAAACACTTCTAAGTAGCATAAAAAATATATTTTTAAGAATGTAAGATATGCTTGATGCTTCAATAAAAACATTTAGTGCTTCAAGACAAAGGAATTTGATATAAAAATAAATTTTATTAAAAAATTATTTATTATTACAGTAATATAATTTTATTAATGTATTCGTTCAGGAAAGAATGTATGAAATTATTACTACTATATTGAAAAAAGTTAACAAGATATTCTCCGAAGAATTGTTAACTCTTAAAATATCAGAATATTACGAAAATATTAATTGAGAAACACTGACTTCCATATGGCAAAATAAATCTGTTTGTTTCAATTTACACATTTTAAATGTTGTATACATCCGTTAATATCTCTAACCTATTTATTACACTACAAGTTTCACATGTGCATATAATCAGTTGACATCAACGAAAATTATTTATAATAATGGTTTCCTAAATTCGAAGGTTGAGAACCCTTTCAAAACTATGATAATTTCATTATATAATGACGGAAAAATTCACGCATGACAAATGATACGGTCCAAAGACAGTCGATTTGTAAGATATTAAAGTAATATATGTAATTAGAAAATATGACTGATTTATCTCTTGTATGCACAACATAAGTGAAAATGATACTGGGAACTTTAGAAACTAGAAAACATTGCAGTTATTCAAAGAATAAAGTCGATGCGAATTCGATTAGGTGAACCACCGAGGATGCTGTCAGTTCGAATTATTCTTCTCAACGTACAGGGCAAAATAGGTTAAGGCGTTTATCGCTTTCATGCGGAAAATGTAACGTTCACCTGACAGTTCGTCCGCATTTGTAATTCATTTCTCGTCTTTTTTTCATGCCGTCTGTCATTTTTAAGATCAAAAAAGTTAAACTCTCTGTCACACTAAATAATTATGTTTTAAATTACTTCTACGATGTTATTACCGTTGGTAACACGTATACTAGATCGATTTATCGACAAATATATCGATAAAAATGTTGTCCGAGATGTTCTATTGGTCCTTTCCTAATTCTAGCAGTACTGTGTTTGGTCTATGTATTTCTTGTATTGTGATTGGTCTGTTCTAAATTGAAATGCAATAAAGATGATCACGTGCGTTTGATCTTTTAATACCATTGTTTAAGTAATGTGAAATAATACGAAATTTTTTAAAATAAGTGACATTAATTATAATTAAAAAATATTCAAGTAAATTCAATGAGTTGCATAAATGTAAATTTGTCAAAGATTGTTCGGTAAACATTTGGTCCGAACTATCAATTTTATGGTCATTGGTCGATAGTCGCAGTAGGTAAACGATTTCCCGCGCAAGGTGTGGTGATAATGATCGTTATTTTCTCGTGTGCAGTGAGGTTTAACAGTATTACAATGAACCGGAACCCGACCTAACATTGAACTTTCGCGGGAAAAAATACAAGTGCTGTATACTTTGGAAGTACCATGTATATACACAGCAGCATATGGTGAATGTTAATTCTATTCAATGTGAAACTTGTTTTACAAGTGTCATGTATGTATTTGTATTATCTTAGAATGTATAATGCAGTCGCCGCATGTTCCTATTATCTAAGAATAAATAATAAATAAAGTGTGTCAAAAAAGTACGAGGTCTAGCCATATCTTTCTATTTATAATACTACTATTTCGTACTTGTAGAATTACTGTCACAAAAATTATTGGAAGGGGGATTGTAAATTTGATAAAAAATATTGTCTTTAAGAAATTGTTTAAATATTTGATTTAAGAATTTTGCATACGAGGGTACATACGAAATTTTTTTGGAGAAACAAGAAATAATTATACTTACTTGTTCAGACCAGATTGCTTTTGTGTTAAATTCCACACAGTGCGATCTCTTTGTGCGATATCTCTGCAAAAATAAGTACGCTTATGTTTTTACAATAAAATCAGATTAGTTTAGAAACATTAAGAAACAAATAAATTGAGTACGATGATTTCGACAGATGTTGAATGTTGATTTCGAATCGATAATGAATATTATTGATTACGAAATTATATAAATCTTCGTTGTTGAATTCCTAGAGATTTTCAATTACAATATTGTACGATACTGAATATTAATAATGTCTCGAGGTTCGAAATGTAATTAGAGATATTAATATTAGATCCTCTGGAGGAAAAATAAGTAGATGCACCAATTTCATTTGGTTACGATCCAGAGAGCTAGGGAGGTTAGTGGAACAACTCAACTGGGAAAAAACCGAAGCATCGCGGAAAGTGAACAGCTTGTAACGTCTGTTTTTCGCTCGCGAAATTTCAGCGACTACAAACTTGTACTTTCTCCGATTCCTTTTTCATGGATCGTAGAGCAACGACACTATCGAAACCATAACTTCTTTTTTCACTTTGCTCCCTTCTTTCTGCTTTCTATTTTACATATCGTCAATGGCGTATTCGGTAAGAAAACGGAAAAGGGGAATTTGATAAATTTTAAAAGTACCATCTCTCTGTATCAAAATTTATCCTCTATAAGATCAGTTGTCTATCTATTAAATTGTAACTACAAAAATAGACTTATTTGCAATTGACGAAATCAAGCGTAAACGGCAATTTCTTCAATTGAATTTAAACATTAAGCAGGGTTTCGTTAACAAATCCTCGCGACCAATTGTCAGAACAACCAATTAAACTCTGCGCAATGGTATACCGAGTGGCTGAAATTGAACCTAATAGTGTTGAATATTTCTGTTCTGCAAGCGTTCCCGGTAATTATCGCGCCTTTTGTTTTAACTCTATCGCAATGTATTAATTCTACCTCGTACTTAATAATACATTTTCAATAACACAATATTACCACCTGGAAGAAATATAATCTAAATCGCACATTTAACAAAGATTTCATTCGTTTAGCTAATTTATTAGTTCACTCGACCGAATGCCGTTACGATATTGTTAATCTGATAAATAATTCATTACTAATGAGAGGTACAATTAAAACACTACAACGAAGCTACGAGATGGGCAATTTAATCGGGATAATTTGTTTTATTAATTATGTGAATTCTAATCGGTTCCATATTTAAGTAGATTATTCGAACGATCAATAAAATGTGCCTGAAGTACAGCGGTAACAATATTATGAAACCTACCGATGTTATCATTTCGGAGTTCTAATTCTGTCCCGTTTTATCTACAAACACAAGGCGATAGCTAATTACGACTTTCCAATTTATACTCGAAGGTAACCGAAGCATTTTATCTTGTACCTGATGCAAGGACTTGTGCACTATTGCGCTTCTTTGAAATTCAATACGAATCGTAACAACGTGGAGGATTTACAGAATACTAATTTTTTATCTATTTCTATGTCAGTGAAATCAGGAACGCCGTGGAAGATAGGCAATATATAGACGTAGCGATAGTGCAATCTGATAAATTGTAATCTACAGGTGCTGAGAACTCTTGCAAAAGTAGTACGCTTCCGTGATTCATTTCGTTTGCATGTGTTTGCTTAATTAAAGCTAAATAGTACTGTGTGTGTGTGTGTGTGTGTGCTATGAAGAGCGTTATAGGATCTGATTCCATGGTAGTTTTTTGTGGTTCTTCGGTTTGATAATACTCTTCGTTGGAAACAGGTATAAATAATTAAATAAGAGGAGAGAAAGATTGATCAAATTTATTACTGCACGATTATGCGGTTTCTTGCGTAATTGGAAAACTGTATTCATTATTCATTGTATTATTGTTGTTTCATAAATAGTACAGGAGCTATTGTCTTTGTGCTTGTCTGAAGAAAATCTTCTGCAAAGTTCTTATTATATTAAGTTAATTGTTTTATTGTTGGAGACATCTTGTTTTTCATAGTTGGAGATACCGGGATAAAAATAATTATTACACAAATTTGTACAAGTGTCAAACATGTATTCTCACTTTTGTTACATATATTTTTATCGAGTGATACGATTCTTTGAAAAAAAAAAAAATTTAAAGAATTCAAAGAATCGTATTTCATTTATTTTTCTTCTGTTTGGTATTTGATTTTGCAACAGAATTAATTAACATAAAAATGATTTTAACAATTTTTCATCAATTTCTTTATATTTCTCTTAAGAAACCCGTTACAGTGTTACACTTAACTGTACTGAATTTTGCTCTAAGTTAATTGCGCTACTAAAGTGCAAAGTTACTTTTTCGGGACAAAAATGATCACGTTTCCTGTAATAAAGTAAAAGAAACTATGTGCTAAATACATATTTTGTTCGTGTGATCCAGATTAGCCACGACAAAATAAGAAGTATAAATACAAATAGCGCACATCCTAGACTGCATTTCATATTTCTTATGTTAGTAAACGAGGCATTAAGTTATACAAATTTTTCTACCTGCATCTGTAACTAGTTCGTTACCGACCTGAAATAGAATTTTAATAAAAAAGTTCATTTCGCTTCTATAGTTTATTGTGTATGACGTTACGCTGTGTTTATATTTATGGGAGGATTACGTTTTGCACATTGGACGATTCTTATCATTTTTGCAATCTCCGATATACAAGATTAATAAGATTGCTCAATGAAAATAATATACGATCTTTACGTTAAATGCAAACTTTAACAAATTTGTACTTACATATCGCGTCGTTATAAATAAATAATTCTCTCATGGAAACGTGACATTTAGTACTCTACTAACGGCAATAATATTACTGTGCAGTAATAAACAAATGCAATCAGAAAATTACCAAAAAAAAAAGAAATGTTAAATATTATCGAAATTCTGTAAGAATATTCGAATTAGTTTTTTTTTTATATTATCCTCGTTTATTTGCTGTCTGTTCCAATATAACGATAAAAAAATGATTTAACAATAGCGAATTATAGATTTCTTCATATATTTTTTACTTAAAAATGAACTTCTGTGTCAAGAAACATGGTGGACACGTAAATAAGAAAATAGTGAAATTCACTGTATATGTACTCATTATTGCAATGATTATGCAATTGAAATTATACGATTTCCTAAATATGGTATTTTAAAAAATATCAAGAGAATTGCAATCGCTTTTGTTTTTTCTTCTCTTATTAAATATCAGTTGAATTATTTTAATTACATTAATAGTCGTACAAAATTTATAATAATACAATTTATTAAAATAATTTAGCAAGAATTACACGACTCCTAAGTACGATATTTAAAAAAATATCAAGAAGGTACCAATCGTTTCTGTTTTTTCTTTTCTCATTAAATATCAGTTGAATTATTTTAATTACATCCACAGCCATAAAAAAATTGTAGTGGTACAATTTATTAAAAATTAATTTAGCCAGATAATCAACAAAATAAGAGTCAAGATGTTACATTTTACTGCACGCTTTAAATTGATACTATGAATGTCGCCTGTTGAGCCTTCGTTCATACCACGACGTAACTATTAACAGAGAAAGCTTATGGCGCATTAGTATGCTTAATAAACCTTTATTGTGTGCTCGTGGAGCGAAAACTGACCTGCCGCTATTCTCAGATCTGCGTCGTCACAGTTTCATTAGCGGTAATTATGTAACATAAAATAAGATGATTCGCGAATTTGTCACAATAAACGCTAGAATGAACCCTCTGAAACGCACACTTACAACGTCCGTTTTTCAAAACATCTTAATGCTCGAGGCGTTAATTGAATAACGATGCTTGCGTCGTTTTAATAATAATTGCAAAATTATCCAGATTTGTAGAATTATCATCAGATGAGGAACAGGTTTTAGATTAAACGGTACACACGCTGGTAATTATAGGTAATAAATGAATTCGAAAAATTAAGACTACACATTTCGTACGATTAACAAGTCGTTGTAGAGAAAAGGAAAACGATTTTTATTACTTATAATTTATAAGTTACGGTTTTCCGGTGATAAGTATTCAGCCATTTTTTTTTTACTAATTTTGATACGTTATTCGATATTGAATTCTATTTTTAATCAGCGCGTGTAATTATAAACATTTGTATTGAAAATATACGCATTTGAATATAGTTTTTGTCTTTTGCTATTTAGTTCTACGTATATTCAGAATCTCTACGTAACTCTACGTCATTTATTACCTACTGTGAAACATTTTCCATAAATCAAGGGATAAGTTTTTTCTCTGAAAAGGCCTCGAATGATTGAAATTGTACTTTTTTTTAATGATAGACTGAAGCTAAATTTTTTTAATAAACGTGAGTTTCAAACATAAGGTATGAAAATTTATCAAAATATATTTATTACAGCAATCAATCAAAATATATTGTTAAAAATATGCAAAGTATCAGTGAAACTAGAAATGTTTAATTTTCATTTCATTCTCTTCAGTAATAAAATATATTGCTTGATTACGTTGATTCTATAATCATTTTTTGGTACAATTTTCAATTAATTCTCAACAAATTAGTTACTTCTTCGTGGATGTAATTACATAAATTTTGAAGTCTGTTTGTATTCCATTTATTAATTCCCAACATACAAGACAATCAAATTTTTTTCAATGGTTTCACGAAGGAAACGTTCGATACCAATAAGTATATATGTATAGTCATTTAGTTAAAAGTATAATAGGTGGTCGTTATATCGTGGTAGAGCTACGTTGATTCTAGTTAACGGTTTACCTGTGCTCACCTCCAAACCACACAAAAGGCCTCGTTCTTTTCAAGCGTAATTAACCTGTGTATTCGATACGCTTGAAATTTTTCGGAACATTTTCACAGAGCAGAAAGTAAATAAGTCTATAGGGAGGAATTCGTTCAAGCAAGATTTCGGTCTGATCACTATTGTTCGATCGAACCTTCGATTCGTTCTGTCAATTAAACAATAATATCAACTGAACGGTTTGATCATTGCCTCTCGATATCAGACCTCACTGTTATTGTAATCACGAGATGTT